CATCCCTAAGACAAACCTGGCTCATAATCCTAACAACCTTTGCCATCTAGTTTCACAAATCTGGGCAGATGACAAATGAGGGAAGGAGGTAGAGAGCGAGTACTTGCTAGAGGCAGATGCCAGAAACAGTGAGAAGAAACAGCTCACAGCCTGCCGGTGAGGAGGAGACAGAAGATCTATAAAAAGTAGACAGAACTGTAAACGCTCAGCTGCTAGGGCCTTTGAATGTTGAAACAAATTGTTCGGCTCGCTTCCTGGAGTGAGGCTATAATACAGCCCAGTATAGCAACTGCTGTTCTTAATAATATACCTGGGTCTCTAAATAACAGCACACTTGGATTAGCTGTTACAAAGGGTGGGACGAAAGGAAAAGGGCAGTTTTTTCGCCCTAGCTGGATTGGCTCAGTGGCTAGAGTGTCAACCTGCAGACGGAAGGGTCCTGGGTTTGATTCCGGTCAAGGGCACATACCTTGGTTACAGGCTTGATCCTTGGCCCTGGTCGGGGCATATGCAGGAGGCAACTAATTGATGTGATTGATGTGTCTCTCTCACATAGATGTTTCTCTCTCCCTGTCTCTCCCCTCCCTTCCACTCTCTCTACAAATCAATGGAAAAATATCTTCCTCTGAGGATTAATTAAAAAAAAAAGTCAGCTTTTAAAGGGTCGGGGAGGGAGCATGATAGTCAGTAGCTGATTTGCTCTTCTGCCCTCAAATGCTCACTTGTACATGGGGGATTTAGTGGGTTATTTGTTGGCTCTTTAATTTTTTTTTTTAACAAAAAATAATCTTTATAATAGACACCTAAATACAATATGGTTTTTAAAATGAAATCATGCATATAGAGTTGTATTCATAAAGATACGTATACTCATCAAAAACTATACAACAATAACAGCAAATCCAAATGCAAACAAAGATATTCTTATGAATTCTGTTTCACTGAGCATCAAAAACCACCAATCTTTTAGTCCTTTTCTTGTACATTATTCTGTATCCACATTCTCTACATCTGATTGGATCCCTGGATTTTATTTCATTTTCCACAGATATATATCATTGGCTGCTGCTTTGGAGGTTGGATGTCCTTCTGGGTGTCCATTGTTAATCCTTAGCACCAACACCTCCTAATTTTTTCTTTGTTTTAATGAGCCATTTCCCCCTTTCAGGACAATGGTATCCTGATCCCATTTTAAAACATCTATGCATTCTATCCTCAAGCATGCAGTATGGGTGCAATTGATAGCACTCCTCCAGGGGTGGCCCTATAATTAGCAGATAGATGCATGCTCTTTACCCTTTGACTTTGCTTCAGAGAGCAGCCCGTATCCAAGCTGGCACAGTAGTGATGCAAGGGGATGTTTGCTGGGGCTAGTGAGAAATAGTGCCTTCCTCTGTCTTCCTGCTAGGTGTCTCAAGAGGATGTGCTCTAGAACTGCTGTAGCCACTCTCCTCCTGTGGATGGGAGCCTGGAGATGCCAAGTGATGAGGGGGAGTCCTCTGTGGATATTGAAGATGAAGCCAAAGTTACAAAAGGTAGAGAGGCTGGGTCAAAACTCAACAGAAGCTGCTGTGGAATTGTAATTTATACATGCCTATGGATTCCTCCCCTCCCCCCAATTAAGCCTATATGAGCTGATTTTCAGTTCATTGCAATGAAATGATACTGGCTGACATAATAGGTGAACAGAATCTTGAAAGAAGATAGAATTTTGACCAGAAAAGAATGAGTTTGATTGGTATTTCAACAACAACAACAATATTAACAATATGGACCACAGCAAAAAATGTATCAAGCACTTAGTATGCTTCAGAAACTCTGCCTACAGCTTCATTTACTCCTCATAAAAATTATACGAGTTCATTTGGGATGAAGCTCAGAAAGATTAAGTGACTTCCCTAAGGTCACCCAGCTGGGAAGTGGTGGAGCAGCTGGGCCTGATGTTCAGAAATATGCTCCTTTCATGCTGCCTCCACTAACCTTCCTGGCAAACGGCTAAAAGACCATAGTCAGAGAGGGGCACCACTAATCGGGACAGTGATGAGGGGAGAATAGAGCAGGCAATGTTGTTCAGAGGTTTCTGGACCCAGTGGTGCACAAGGTGTAGTTGCAGTCATTACTACTCTCACACACACAATGTCCAAACCTGTAGAGAATTTTTATAAGAGTTTATTTTATTATTATTTTAAAAATATATTTTTGTTGATTTCAGAGATGAAGGGAGAGGGAGAGAGAGATAGAAACATCAATGATGAGAGTCATTGATTGACTGCTCCTGTACATCCCCTACTGGGGACTGAGCCTGCAACGGGGCCCATATGCCCTTGTCTGGAATTGAACTGGGGACCCTTCAGTCCACAGGCTGATGCTCTATCCACTGAGCTAAACCAGCTGGGGCTATAAGAGTTTATTTGCGCCCAAACTGATGACATATATTGGGGAGCAAGATCTCAAATGCTCCAGAGAATAACAGTTTGGCAGTTTTTTTTTATGCATTTGAATTTAAGGAGGAACTACGGAAAATTACTTGGAGGTGGGAGGAAGCGAGGTGGGATTGGATTACAAGATAATTAACAAGATTACTGGTTTGTGCTCTCTCGAGGGTTATTACCCTTTTTGAGGGTTATTACTTCTGGTCTTCAAAGATGTGTTAACCTCTATGCACAAGAACAATGGACAGGGCTGGCTTCAAACCTTTTACTAAAGGAATTATAGCTCGGCAGGTGTGGCTCAGTGGTTGAGCATCAACACGTGCACCAATAGGTTGCAAGTTGATTCCTGGTTAGGGCAGTTGCCTGGGTTTCAGACTTAATCCCCAGCCAGAGGGCATGCAGGAGGCAACAGAGAGATGTTGTTGTTTCTCTCTCATTGATGTTTCCATCTCTCCCTCTCCCTTTCACTCTCTCTAAAAATCAATAAAAGCATTTTTGAAAAAAAGAAATTATATGCTTGGACATGACTGCCCATCATGACCTACTCAGTCAGGAATTTATGTTCAGATCACCCTGTGAGATTACTACCATAGAAACCCTTTTTTACATGTACATATCATTACCAATTGTGCAAGGGCTGAGGGACAAGAGCAGAGTGCTATGAAAAGAATGAGGGAGACAGTTTAGATCGGAAAAGCATGCAAGTGTTTAGGTAAGACCTTTCCATGCAAGTGTGATTTAAGCAGAGGCTTGATGTTCAAATGAGCAGATACAGTCCAAGCAGAAGGAACCACACAGGGGCAAATAGATTTTCACGTTTAAGGAACTGAAAGAGGACATGTGGCTGCAAAGTTAATGGGTGAGAGGTAGGAATGGGCTGGATTCTGCCTTGAGGGCCTTGAGGCCACCATTAGGACTTTTCATTCTCATTTATTTATTTCCTCCTTAAACATTTCCTAAGAATCCTCCACTGGGCCAGGCCATACCCAGGGAATAGAGATATAGTGATTAACAATAATATAATGGTTAATGGCTAATATTCTTTAAGTACTACCTACCATTTGCTATTAGAACTTTTGTATTTAAGCTCTTTGACGCACCAAGCCATTTAAGCCTCCCAGCAGCCCTATCCTGGGAGATTAGAAATTAAGTAACTTGGGAAACGAAGTAATTTTCAAGATCAAAGTGCCAGCAAGTGGCATCAGGCAGTCTGACTCCAGAACTCCTAGGCACTTAATATTCTTAATGTGGGGGAGTGTAGAGGTAAGGAACAAACCTGTAGGGAATTTTTAGATGACATATGCCAGAGAGCAAGAGCTCAAATACTCTGGAGGATAACTTTTTTGCAGTGTCTCTCATGCATTTGAAATTAAGGCACATGTTGGGGTGACTCCCCTGAGCTCCTAACCACTATGATTTACTATCTCTTGCCTAAGATTGGAGGACAGTCTTCCTAGTCATTTTAGCCACCCAAACAGTGCTTCAGATGTAGGCAGCCAGGTAAGAAGAGAATTTCTCAAACTTGGCAGAACATAAAAACTCTCGGGGGACCCGAAAACTGGTTTGGCTCAGTGGATAGAGCTCAGTCGATAGGTCTACGGAGTGAGGGGTCCTCAGTTCGATTCTGGTCAAGGGCATGTACATTGGTTGCGGCAACATCCCCGGTGGGGGTTGCAGGAGTCAGCTGGTTGATGTTTCTGGTTCTCTATCCCTCTCCCTTCCTCTCTGTGAAAAATCAATAAAATATGTTAAAAAGAAAACGACAAAAAACAAGAACTCTTGGGGGAGTTAAAAACCAGACCCTTATCCTGAAGATTGCGTGTCACTAGGTCCACCCTGGAATTTGTATTTTAGCCAGTTTGGCAAACACTGGCTTGTGCAATTCAGTTCAATGGTTTTCGCTGGGACAGACCCTCCTTTGGGTCAGATGCAGCTTTGCTACTTTCCTAGATGCCTGTCCCCTTGTGCCAACTGCCTCGCCGCCGTTGCGAGCTTCAGTTTCCCCTTCTGACAAATGAGGGAGATGCCACAGCACCATTGCCCTCGGCTGTTGTGTGGATTAAGTGCGCTGCTCCCAAAGTGCTTGGAGCAGAGTCTGATTTGGAGTGAGCGACGCTGATAATGGGACGGTGATGATGATGACAGGGAAGCTGAAGACGCCTGGTGATTAATTGTTATAGATTCCAGCTACTTAGTGGACTGTCTCCCAAATGGTGCATGGGTCAAGCTTATCGGCGCCTCTCTGGGCACTCCGTATTTTTACAAGTTAAACCTACCAACCCTCCCTGTAGGCTCCCAGCCTGAGCCAAAGACACCCCTCTACGCACTCGGAGGCCTCCGCTCGCCAGGCGCCCCAGTCCATCCCAGAGGGGCCGCTCAAGCTTCTGCCCGCCCAGGCAGCACTAGCGGCGCCCCGAGCAACCAAGGCCCTCGAGCGCCCCGCCCCGCCCCGCCCGCCTCTAAGGCTCCGCCCCCAGCGGGCCAGGCCCTGCGGACAGTTGGACAGTGAGAAGTGGCGCCGCTCCCTCCCACGCAGTGCACTCTGGTGGGACCAGAAACCCGCTCGCCATGTCCGCAGCGGAGGCGGGGGGTGTTTTCCGCAGAGCCCGGGGCAGGACCCTGGACGCGTTTCCCGCAGGTACTCGGGGAGGGGAGGACTTCGGGCTGCGGAACCTTCCGCCGGGGGAACCTTCTGTGTGGGCGCGCGCACCTCCAGCCGGACCCCCATCGGGGCCGCAGTCGGTGTCGGGGACCAAAATAAGGTCCGCACAGCCGGCGCGGAAAGGCTTCCTCGGTCGCCATGGAGACGCGAGTGGCCGCACGAGGAGGCCGGTGCTGGAGCTTTTCCCCTGGCCTCCACCTAACTTCCCTGAGAGCAGAGTAAGGCGGCAAAGCAGTTCACAGGAGCGAGGGCTCGCTCTCCGGTTGGGTTTGGTTTTCCACGCCTTGTCTAGGACCCGTTGCTCGGCAAGTTTTGGCCTCAGTTCCCCCATCTGTAAAACGGGAACAGTAACAGAGAAGTTCCGTGTGGCACTTGACAAGCGGCTGATGCACGTTAGATGTCGTTACTTTTATTGGGGTCGTTCACCACGATGTGTTTCATACGCTGCAATCACGGTTATTTACTATAATATGAGTCATCCGCCAAAATGTTCGCCGTGCCCGGCAGAGAGGCAAGGCAGTCAAGGGTCGTGGCAGAATTAAACGCTTGGACTTTGGATGTAGGTGACCTGCCTCGCAGTAAAAAATGGGTTGGTGAAGATTCTGATAGGTAACAGATTAACCGGATTATTCTTTTTAACAGATTGAAACTTGTTTTTGAAACCCAGTGCCTGACACAGACTAGCTGCTAAAGTGAATGTTAGCCTCAGAGCTGGAAGACGAGAGGGAAATCTGTCCCTGGTTCCTTGGTTCGTTCTCTCGGTGGCATTTTGCTTCCTGGAGTCAGATTCCTTCCCTTGCATTCACCAGTTTTGTAACCCAAGGGGAGCCCTGCTGGATCTGCTGGTGCTCACCTTTCTTCCTTCGTGCTCCATTCTTTCCCGGGCCTAGGTAGGTTAAGGTAACCAGTCCTGATTTTTAACAATTTGTCCCGAGTCCCGCAAGTCCCAAATCTTCCCAAATATCGGGACTTCCTTAGCCTAGGTCTCCTGCCAAACTAGTTTTCTTTTAAGATTTTTATTGATTTTTAGAGAGGAAAGCAGAGAGAGGGAGAAAGAAGCATCGATATGAGAGCAGAACATCACACACACCCTACTGGGGATTGAGCCACACCACCGCATAGGCCCTGACCAGGAATGGAATTGGCAGCCTTTTGGTGCACGGGGACAACACTCAACCACCTGAGTCACACCGGCCAGGGCCACACTGGCTTTCTTCTTCTTCTTTTTTACACTGGTTTTCTTGAACTGCATTTTTAAAAGAGCCAATTGCAGCATTACTTTCTCTTCAGGACCGTGGCACTTGCTCTTTCCCTGCTACCATGGCTAATAGCCTGGCTCTTTCTCAATCTTCACATCTTATTTAAAGTTATTTCTCAGACAGATTTTCTCTGGCTACTCTCTCTAAAGTAGGTTTCTCCTGTAATTCTGTCGTAAAACCTTGTTCTTTTCTCTTTTTTTGCAGCTCCTGTTGGGGAGTGGCAAGATTCTGGAAGAGCACATGGGGGCCAGGAATATAGCTGTAGTGGATTTTGGGAAACTCAATCTGCTGTAGTGCCCATTCTCTAAATATTTTAATATGCCTTTTTGTGCCCATCATAAGATTTTTGAGGTTTATCTATTTTTAATAATAAAAGGGTAGTGTGCTAATTAGACCAGACAGTCGAACAAAATTCTGGATATCATTTCAGATGTTCTTCCAGATGAAGCCATGGCCATAGGGGCAGTGGGAGAGGCAGTGGCAGTTAGCGGCGATCAGGCAGGCAGGTTAGCAGTGAGGGGCAATCAGGCAGGCAGGCAAGTGATTAGGGGCCATCAGGCAGTCAAACAGAGGGGTTAAGAGCCAGCAGTCCCAGATTGTGAGAGGGATGTCTGACCGCTGGTGTAGGCCTGCTTCTACTGCAGGATTGGGCCTATACTGGCAGATGGATATTCCCCAAGGGGTCCTGGATTGCAAGAGGGTGCAAGCTGGGCTGAGGAACAAACCCTCCTCCTGTGCACAAATTTCGTGCACTGGGCCTCTAATATTGATATAAGTAGCTCTAGTTCACCAATTTTCCTGCTGCACAATATTCTATTGTATAAATATATACTCTATGCATTCTGTTGCTGGATATGCTAAGTATCTTTGTCCCTCCGACTCTCCACTGTGCCCCAGGATGTTGGCCTCTCTGGGCTTCAGAGGCTCCTGATCCTCTGGCTTTCCACTGGCGTCAGCCAATGGGGAGTCCCCACCAGAGAGCCGAGGAAGGGGGAACCAAAATCAGGGTGTTCATTCCCCCAGTTTACTCCCTGTGGACTTGCTTTGAGCTAGTTATATTCCCCGCTTGAAGTTCACTGCTTTCAAGATAGCGTTTCCGTTGGGTCTTGGTTTTCAGATTTGGGTAACCACTCACTTCCTCCTTTCAGATGTAGGGAGGCGGCAGCTCTGCTTTTCTATCTTTGGGCTACCAAATTGTCTTTTGTAGTTTTTCTACACTCAGCTCATCCCAAATAATCTATTTTTAATCCCTCCTTTAATTTTCCTAATTTTTAGTATGCCAGCTATTCCCTGATATAATGGACATTGAGTTGTTTATGTTTTTCACTCTTGGTAACAGTGCCGTTAGGAACTTTAAAAAAAATTCTTTATTGTATAAAGTCTTACATATGTCTCCTTTTTCCCCCATTGAGTTCTTCCCGGTCATTCCCACCCCCCAGTTAGGAACATTTTTGTACAAATCTTCTTGTGGATACGTGGGGAAATTTCTCCAGGACATATATCCAGGAGTGAAATTCTGGGTTATAAGGTATAATCACCCCCAGCTTTACCCTAAATTGCCTTCCAAAGCCCTGGCACCAATTGATATATCCACCAGCAGTGAATGAGAGAGTTCCTTGTTACTCTTTTCGGTATCTTTTTTCAATTCAAGATGTATTTATTAGGTTCCTATTGCATTCTTTAGTATCTTGTGGAGAGTAGAAAAAGAAGGGGTGGGGGTGGGGTGGGGAGAAAGGCAAGCTACATGCCCTCAGGGACTCATAGTCTAGGCACAGAGCTGTGGCACAAAAAATAATTCTTCTCAACTGGTGGACTTGTGGGCCTCTGCAGTGGGAGGACTTGGGTTGTTAAGCATTGGTCTTGGCTGATGTTGGGTCTGTTAACTAAAATCACAGAATAAGGAATAGGGTCAGATTTGATGGGATTGATTTGGGAAGTGATGACTTTGAGGTGCCACCAGGAAATATGATGGAACTTGGGGGGCATAGTACACAGCTGAGGATGAAGGTGTGGGTCCCACCCGCAGAGAGGAGTCAGTGACATTGCTCTGGGGAAAGTGTAGAGTAGTGGATAGTATCTGTGTGTGTGTGTGTGTGTGTGTGTGTGTGTGTGTGTGTGTGTGTGTAGTCTTAGGATATGCCAGTGCTTAGGGGGCAGGAAGAAAAAAAGGTACACTGCAGGACTCGGAGCAGAAAACAACCAGAAATTTTGGAAGAGAAAACCAGGAGCCGAGGATGGCAGGTTTGATTGTCACCTTGAGGAGAACAATTTCAGCAGAGCTCTAGGGGAACACCTGTACACAGTGTCTGCGGAGTGGCAGAGAGTGAGGATGTGAAGTCAGTGAGGGTAGGATTCTGTTTGGAGCCATTTGGTGATGCAAGGTAGACCTAGGCCAGTAGCAGCTTAAGGGAGGAGCAATGCTGAAGGAAGGCTGAAGGGTTTGAAATAGTAATAATGATAAGAAAATAGGAGCATCTAACATTTATCAGGTGTTTCTGGAAGCCAGGCACTGTACTCGGGGTTGTATAGATTATGTCATGTAATCTCCAAAACAGTTCTGTTTAGGTAACTATTATGATTATCCTCTTTTTACAATGGAAAAAACCACACACACACACACACAAAAACACAAGCTCAACAGATTAGGCAACTTGCCCAAGGTCACATAATTGGTATGAGATGGATATAAGGTTGAAAATGCAAAATCAGAATAATTGTTGGAGAGAGAGAGCTGTGGAGATGGAATCAAGGGCTTGTGAAGAGGGGTTGACTCTGGGATCAAATGTACTTTTCAACCATCTCTCCATCCTTCTGTCTGTCTGTCTTTCCAACTGTTTGTCCATCCATCTGTGTACCCGGCCATCCATCCACTATTGTATTCACCATATGTCCATCTCTTCATTCGGTCTGTCTATCCACCTATCATTCATTTGCCCACTTACCAAATGTACTGAGCACTTGCCTTGCCCCAGCCATGGTGCTGGATGCCAGAGTGCAGTGAGTGAAAAACAGTTGTGATTCTTCTGGCACATAGCTACTTGGAAAGCCTGACATTAACCTGCCACTCACATGAACCAGTGGAAATTCCAGTTGTGGCAAATGCCAGAGAAGTGAGGGATTGGTTCCATGAGAGCCTCTCACTGGAGCATTAGTAAGGACCTTTAGGGAGGGCTTCCTCAAGGAAGGGATGTATCATCTGATTGCTGAAGGACGATTAGGAGTTAACTAGGTCTTGAAAGGAGGGCAGACCTCTGTGGCCATCGGCAGAGCAAGTTTGAAAGTCTGGCCTGGTGGGACTGGAAAGGGAAGAATGAGGGAAGAAAGCCATTGAGAGTGGAGCAGTGTGGTATGGGCGGGCACTGGAGAGAGAGATGGGGGTAGTTGGATTTGTTTTTGCCTAATAGCATCAAAGGGGTTTAAGCGGTACGTGTGAAAAAAACAGGGACACATAATCAGATGTCCATTTTGGAAAGGATGGCTGCAGCAATGGCAACAAAAGCATTTCTACTTACGAGGAACTTGGGTGCAATCTTGTTGGGAGCTGGAGCTCAAGTACTTGTCTAGGAGCATCATTTCCATAGACCACACCTTTTATTTTCTGTAACTGGAGGTGCTTGTGGTCGTGGTGGGGGGCTTCCAATGAGATGAGGAGAGTGCTGAGGTGTTGAACCTCCATAGCCTTTTAGAGCGGCCACAAGGCTGCCAGTAAGACCAGAG